TTCCGCGTCGCGCATCCGCCCGATATACATATTTATATAATATAATACAATTTAATATTATATGTAAACGGTTGCCTGGATTATTGGTATTATGTTCGATTATTCGTGCATATAAAGATGACATTGATTGAATTCATGAGATTTTTATTTACACGACAATTGGTTGTCAATGAGAATGGGATGAAGTCATAAAAACACGCGTGGAAAATCGAGAAAAGATCTCTTAACCGCATACTTTTACGCTGAACTTTGCACTCTACGTATTTCACAAGATATATGTTTGCCTTTTTTTACTGCCCACACTCTTTTACCTCTACTTGTTTACAATGAGGGCTATTTTTAACAATTAATGTCAAAACGTATCTTTACATCGTTAAAGTCTGTATAAATTATATTTACCTATAACGTAAATATAATATAATTTTATGCAGATATTTCTCCTTCAATCTATTATTAATACTTTTTCAAGTGAACAACTTATCTCTCTCTCCATATCCGTTACTTTCAAATATTGATAAGATCCTAATTTTTACCGTATTATTATTACTACGCTATGTAATTAAAATATTACCATGTTGCAAAATCTTCGGTAAAATAATCCCGCATGATAATTTAATAATTTATCTGTTTCATTCTTTTGACAGACTAACAGAAAAGAGCGGCATCATCCACGACGGTTTCGGCAACTACACAGCGGACGTGAAGTGTTCCTGGTTGATCGAGAGCAGCCCGAACACCAAGATACGTATGCACGTGGAGCAATTCGCGACGGAATGCGGCTGGGATCATCTATATATCTATGACGGTGACAGTGTCGAGGCGCCGCTGCTGGCCGTCTTCTCCGGCCTGATGCATAAGGACGGCTATCACATACGCCGCGTGCCGGAAGTAATAGCGCGATCCGGCAGTGTGTTACTGCACTTTTATTCCGACGTCGCGTACAACATGAGCGGCTTCAATATTACATATAAAATCAATGCTTGTCCGAGCAGGTGAGTCTGAGCGTCGCCGGTTGCAGTCTATTTAACGATTAAGTCCGCGTTACTTCTTTTTCATCTTTTCGATACCGCTTATTTCTCTCGATGGAAATAAAATATATTTTTTTTATCTACATTTCTCTCATTGGAGATACGTTTAAAAAATGGGACACATTTCACAAATGGTTTCTATTAAATTAAATCAATGGTTTCGAACAATATTTTGTTCTGGATGAAGGTATACAAATAATCACACAGTTACGTTACGCGCGGTTGATTGCCTTGTTCGCGAAAAATAGTTTTCGCGAGATGGGAAAAAAAGTGGAGCGGAACATTTTATGAATTTTTCCTGGATATTTACGGTGCAAGTCGATAGAACATAATCGGAATCGGTCGACCTTAAAACGTAAATGATTATTATACGGTGATTCTTAGCGAGTAAAGGCATAATTTGAGTCACAAGTGCCGGGTGACTCACATTATTCGCGTACGAGGTTTTAATGCGATATATCACCAGAGCCAGATATATGAATTATGTGTGCATAATTCTTGGCACAAAAAGACACGCTGGACGACAGTTGTATCTGCCTAAAAAAAAAAAAAGATGCAGCTTTGCGAAATATGCGGTGTTCGATAAAGGTAGAAATCCGGATGAGATGCGTAACAGAGAGAGAGAAAGACTGACTGCCGAGATTACACGGGATGGCAACTACCGATAACTCGTAATTGGGTCGCCCCCGGCTTAGAAACTTTATCGAGCTTCCTCTGAGAGCCGGAAATACGCGTAACCGTATCTGTGTCACGTTTGATAACGTTACCTGTGGTCAGAAGATGATCAGCGGACAGATTCCTGACAAAAAGTTTATCGTGTCTATTGAGAGGAGGAAAGACATTTTTCGAGATTACAGTTAGCACTTTGTCAAGTCGGTGCTTCGACGTTTTGATATTTTATGACATGTGAGAAACTAGTACGATTTCTTTTTACTTCGAAATCTCTCTCTCGCTCGCTCGCTCGCTATTTTTAACTTATAAAATCTTTTAACGGGTATCGTTAAAGAATATTTGACTCCAGTTTCATTATTCAAATAGATTCCTCATATTACAATATACACGCTTTACAGAACTGTTTGCATTTCTAACTAGTTATCTCCAAATATTGAATCTAATCAGAACGTGTGATTGTCGCCAACACAAATCGTTTTGCAATAAAGAAATATTAATACAGGTAAACACTTACTGTTTGATCGAATAAATAGCGCACGAGAGCATGTACATTTGCTTTCCGATATCGTCAAAGATCATCAACGATGACACTTTGAAGCTAAGATTGATTCAATGATATCCGGTGTACATACATCATCGTTTCCAGATATTCCCATATTGACTGTTCCGGCCATGGAGTGTGCATCGAAGGCACATGTACCTGCGATGCCACGTGGACCGGTGAAGCCTGCGATGTACAGGTATGCCCGAACAATTGTTCGTACCTTCATGGGCAGGGCGAGTGCGATCGCGAGAGTCATCACTGCCGCTGCTTCAACGGCTACAAAGGTAAGGAAATAATGAGAAAGGAACATATCTTGACCATGTGACTTAATTGTATAGTTGACGATAAAGTGCCGGTCTGTCTAAAATTATATAATAAAATTATAATTGTAATTCATATACACGATCATCTAAAAATAATATTTATTGTAATATTTTTATTCTCGATATTCAAGTTTAATGTATTACATATCCATATTTATAACTGTTATAATTACAGTATAATAAATGTGACGAATGTGTGGCATTTACTTATTTAATATACTTCTGAAAAAAGTAGAATATATTTCGACGATCTAGAATAAATCTGGAAAAATTTATTATATAATTTCTCACAAACTATCTCTGTTTGAGAACTTGAAATAAAACAAAATAAAATAAATCTTCATTTACATATACGCGTGATTTCTGGGATTTAGGCGCAGACTGCAGTCAAAAGGGGGATCGTGGATTTTGGGAGACTGTCACGTATAAAGATTTGCCACCAGATGGGTCGGCCAGTCACTGTTCTATCGTCTGGAAAGATTCTCTGTACGTGGTTGGCGGCGAGAGTTTCCACCGTGCCAAGATGATATATGTATATGATTATAACGGCAACGTCTGGGAAACGCCTCATGTTGAGGGTCGCGCGCCTTTGCCGCGTTACGCGCACTCGTGTGTCCTCTTCGGTGACAAGATATTCATGTATGGCGGTGCCTTACAAAACTCCACCATGACCAACGAGATCTGGGCGTTTGACGTATCCGCCAAAGTCTGGGAGAACATCACTGTGTATGATAGTTGTCACAACAAAACGATGTGTGGGCCGCTAAAGGTGCGTGCGTTTGTTTAAAATATAATCTTATATTTAAGCAAGAAATATTCTTTGTATTTATATAAAATGAAAAGTAGTGTTTATTTCACGATCGAATTTTGAATTGTTAATTGCTGAAAGTTTAATGAAATTTTTTAATTTTTTATAGTGATAATATCAATCGATGCTGACTCTTATTCTTTAATTTTTAGCTGACTTATAGTATGATATTTTATAATTTAGTATAACATTGTTTATATATATATATTTTAACGTTTTTACAGGTAGCTGGACACACTGCGACTTTGGTGCAAAGTCACAACAAGAAAGAGAAGATGATTGTGATATTCGGTTTTTCACCACAATATGGTTACTTAAACACCGTCCAGGAATACTATTTGGGTACGCGCGAATGGCAGATTGTCAAAACCATCGGTTTCCCGGTGAAGGGTGGTTACGGTCACAGTTCCGCCTACGATTCTCTCACGAATCTCATATATGTGTACGGCGGTTATGTGTCAGAGTCGCACAGCACGCAGGTGTTGTCCAGCCGAGTGTATTCATATCATCCCAATAGTTACGAATGGCGTCTGCTCACAGCGGCACCATCGGCACGTTTCTTTCACACGGCCACTTTTGTTTATGGCGGACTGATGCTGGTTTTCGGCGGTAACATGCACAACGATACGCAGCAGTCGCATGGCGCGCGATGCTATTCAGCCGACACGCTCGGCTACGACGTCATGTGCGATACTTGGCATCAATATACCATGCCTAGAGACATGAGCGATCTTCCGCGATACGGGCATAGTGCGACGGTTTTTGAGAAGTCGATATACATCTACGGCGGTTTCGATGGTGAAATGCTCTCTGACATGTTGAGGTAATGCGTCTTGTTGTAAGAGAAAAAAAAATAATTTTATATATACTATATGCCTATATACATGTTGAGATTTACTTATTGCGTAGATATACCCCGGGTAATTGCGAACATCTGACGAATCAGAATCAATGCCTGAACGCCAGGATAGGCGTGAAATGCGTATGGCACAAACAAGACGGTCGATGCCTGCACATCGCGAGGTATATGCTTAAAAAATATCAAGACGACGATACTTACATGAAATGTTTGGATGATGCGCCACCGCGCGGCATGACATCGCACGAGGAGCTCTGTAAACTCTTAATCGATTGCGTGTCTTGCGTGCAAAACTCGTATAATTGCGTCTGGTGCGGTAAGGGTTGCTTACACGAGAAATGTCGGGATCATCCTAATTCGCCGAGTTCAAGGCCCATTACGGATCTAGAACAGTGCGATCCGAGTGGCATCGAATGCTTGCTGCTCCATACATGCCACGCTTGCGAAACCAATCCACGTTGTTATTGGTCTTGGTCCAATGGGCCTGACCGTTGTAAGCCGCAACGAGAGTCGAGGATTCAGGTGGTATGTGTGTTTGGATATATTTTAAGATTTTGCTGATTGTACAGACAATGCAGAAGGATAAATGAAATATTTAAATACAAATATTTTTCTAAACATTTTCGAAATAGCGAATATATATAATTTAGAAACTATATTTTAATAAAAATGAAATTTTCAATATATTGATCTAATCTGTTCATACAACACACGTATACACAATCTTAACTTGCAAAAAATTAATAAAACGGATATATTGGTTAATCTTATTAACTTTTAAAAATAGATGTTTGCAAATGGCAGTCTCGTCATACCACCAGTCACACCGCAAAGCTTGACATCGATGGACATGTGCCGCTATAATCCGTGCATAGAGTATACAACGTGTCGCAACTGCACGGAAGGCGATTGTATCTGGTGTCAAAATGAGGGGAGATGCGTGGATAAGAATGCATATCCAGCCAATTTTCCCTACGGACAATGTCGCGAGTGGACTACGATAGAGGCTAGATGTCGTCCTACAGAGACTGGCAGGGACTGGTGTAGCTTTTATTCGTCGTGCGCTACATGTCGTTCGGATCCTGGATGCGGTTGGTGCGACGACGGATCGGGCACCGGGAAAGGTGTGTGTTTGCCTGGCGGAGCTCGCGGTCCCAGCAACAAGAGCTTGGAAACGTGTCCGTTCGAACACTGGTACTTCACAAAATGTCCGAGTAAGCGAGTTTGTTTACTGATCGTTTTTTGTATATTTATAATCAAGCATTGTATCATTCATACGGTTTTTTTTTTAATTTTTGCAGCCTGTCAGTGCAACGGGCATAGTAAGTGTCTTCCAAACAGCAGCGTCTGCATTGAACCGTGTGGAAATTTGACTCATGGACCACATTGTGATAGATGTATCGCCGGTTACTACGGCAGTCCACTCAACGGAGCAACGTGTCAACGTATGTAATTCTTTTTCACATGCCACGATATCTCTTGTAATCGTCACGACCGAGTGAGAGAGAGAAAGAGAGAAACAATTGAATGTGACACTTGCGCGTGATTATTACAGCTTGCTCCTGCAACAATCAAGGCACGCTATGCACAAGTGAAACGGGCAAATGTTTTTGCACGACCAAAGGCATTATTGGCGATCACTGCGAACGTTGTGACGTGTCCGGTCTTTATAACGGAGATCCTACGAATAAAGGATCTTGTTTTTGTGAGTCAATTGATAAAATATGTTTTTTATTCTATATTCCCCATTAATTTTTATACATACATATATATATATATATATACACGTAACTCATGTATCTTATTGTACATGTATTTGTTTCAGATGACTTGGCTATTGATTATCAGTTTACATTTAACTTAAGCAAGAAGGAGGATCGTCACTATCGGGCCATTAATTTCAAAAACTCACCACCGAAAGCCGATATCGATGCCGAATTCTCCATCACGTGTTCCGTACTTGCTAAGATGAATATTACCATCAAAAAAGTAAACAGTCCGGAAAGGCCATTGCTGCTCGGCGCGAATTGCACGACGACCATGTATAAGCACCGTTTCAGCAAGGCAGATTACAATTTTGGCAGCGAAGATAATAATACCTTCACCACATTCTACGTATATGTTTATGACTTTCAACCGCCAGTGTGGATTCAGATCTCATTCTCTCAGTACTCTAAATTGAATCTGCAACAGTTTTTCATTACATTCTGCACGTGAGTATCATAAGTTGGACTTTGAAGTGGTTTTCAGTTTGAAATAAAATGAATTAAAGTTATGTTAAATCTCTTTAAACACAATGCGAAGAGTGATCTTGAGAGATGATACATCTATTGGCCTAACGCTTTCTTTTTTCTAAATTTTCTATATTCTTTCCGTCTTATTGAACCTCAGGCAGTACTTACTTGTAAACTAGAGATTACATGCCACCACACAGGTGCTTTCTCGCTCTGCTATTGGTGGCTGCCATTCTGTGGAAGATCAAACAGAAATACGATATGTATCGACGAAGACAACGGCTCTTCCTAGAAATGGAACAAATGGCCAGCAGAGCTTTCAGTTCAGTTGTAGTAGAGATTGAAAGACGTGACATTGATGGCACAGATTTGGAACACGGTGATACCGACTTTAACAATTGTCGTAAAAATATAAAGGTAAACGTGATTCTTTTTTTTGTTTTTAGATATTTCACATGCATAACAAAATAGAACATTTTGCTTTATGAAATTTATTTTTCTATTACAGGATGTTCCTCCTAGTCCGATCGCATTGGAGCCTTGTTGTGGCAACAGAGCGGCGGTCCTGTCTCTGCTAGTCAGAATGCCAACTGGTGGCGAGCCTTATACGCCAGCTGGACAGAGCGCCGGTTTAGCCGTCGCGTCTGCTTTGGTGACGTTAGGCACCCAGCGTAGACCATCTCAAGAACTAACGACGAAGGAGCCGAAGAAGACGAGGAAGTCCGCCAGTCAACATCCGGACTCTACTTGTATTTAATGATAAAACTATAGCAGAGACATTGCGATAGGACGTGACTACAATGAGCCTTAGAGTTGTTTCTGTGATCTTGCCCGCGCTTAATACGGCAGGACTTTTATCTTTGAACTCTAACAGAGTGAAGAAATGCGAACAATGATCGCGAAAAAATACGCGAGGATTTTATTCGTCGATTTTCCACGTGCAACTGATTGGTGTATCAAACGACTCAGCTATTTTATCTGAAGAGTTGGCTGAACGTCTAATATTAAATATAGATGTACGCGCGTCTTTCCTTATCGAGTAGAAGGAAACGCCTTTGATAGAGGAGTAAATGGATTGTTCCGGTCTACGTCCGCTAATCATGGTAAGTAACACGTTTTGTTTAGAATTGAGGTGCGCGTTGTCATTAATAATGAAGTATCCTCGCGCGCCAAGAGGGGACGCCCGCATTGATCGGTTGACGTACGAGTTTTCTTTATGAATCTCAATTAACGATGTACAGTGTTGTATATAGATGATTAGACGATCTACATTTTTCTTGAATGATATATTTGCTCTTGTGAATAAAACTGGCCTCGTGCATATTTGAAAAACTTTTATCCGCTGCTTCTTTTTTACGAGTTTATTCATTCATAATCAAAAGAAACGCGTGTGCAGATTTAATCCTTCTAAATCTAGGAAATTTTAAAAAATAATTATCTTTTTACAAATTAACAGATTTAACAATAAAAATCTGCTTAAGTTTGGAAGAATTAAATGTAGCATATCCGTCATAAATTTTTGTTTCTTTATTGTCTCACAATTTCCGCAATGCAGTGGATAAAAGCTTATAAATGCCATAAAAGATACTAATCCATTAATGTTACTGAAATAATTGAATTCGAAGAAGTACAACGCTTCGATATAAGCTGTAAATAGGCTATATTTTTGTTGATTCCGCAAACGAAGATGCACATTGTTAATAATGAAGATCCAAACATGTACGAGATACTGAAGTGAACGGAAAGATCGAATTCATATATCAAAGAATTCATTATTAATGTATCCGTTTGTAACGAATGTGTATAAAATTCATATTCTAAATCGATCAAGGTAAGCAGAGATAATTGCAACTGATGCAGATTTATAGAAGGTACAAACGACATATTTGATCCTATGTGCATTTCACATTAGAATATTGTGCCAAATTATTTCTGTCTTTTTATATAAACGCAAATTATCTGTCGAGGCAAGCTTTGGTTAGCTAGAATTGATCGAACGAGAAGAATGAATATTTTTACTTATTTCGTTACTTCTGTTTATCATTAATCCTACTAAACTTTGTCGCATGATTGCAAATTTGCAGGATTAAAATATTAGTTAAATTAATGGCGTAATTTAATTAGAAGTTTTAAACATTTTGTCGATTATACTCAAAGTTTTAATCTAACAAAAACAAAATGTATAGCCGTTACAGTAATTTATGAGACAAGTAAGGGATGTTGGTTATATCGCACGTTGATTGCGTGACTGTCTTTCTGAGCATTTAATTAATGCGTTTGAAATAATTGCACGTTTTTACATTTTTTAATAATTTACAGACTACTGCTTATGTTACGTTATTTTTATTATTTCGTATATTTATCCATAATTATATATAAGAATGAGTAATTATATGAATGAATATCGCGTACTTCCATTTTTTTATATTAAATTTGTGCTTTTCCTCTCATCAATACGAAAAAAATAATTTATCGCAGACTTCATAAATTTTGTATATATTATTAGCGAGAACATAATGATAGTAATCATCGTACAATACTTAGAGAAAATTCCAGCTTCTTATTCTTTATCCGTGAAATTATATTCAGAAGCCGGCATTTTCCTCTTCTCGAAACTTTCGTGGTAACATGAGAAATGGGAGTTTTTGCCCCAGCAGACTTATAAATATATACATATTAGATAGTTCCCTTATAAATACGTTAATCTGTGTTATGATAGTTAAGCTTCTTTTTTGGTGGGTGTGATGTACGTATTTATATCTATATTAGTGCATTGAGCGGGTGAATAATAAGTGGTGTGATCTGTTATTATTCAGATTGGCATAATGTGATGCATTTTGTTTTGACATTTAATACTCATATAATTTCCTGGTCTTTATATTGTTTAAAATATTAATTTATGTAAAGGTGTGTTGTGGTCAAAGAGACGTATATATATTATAAATTAGAATCCCTCCCTTTTAAGCGATAATGCGCATTCTATCTCAAATATATTTTTCGTACCAAAGAAAGCTCTATAGATGTGAATAAATCGTTATTGCGCACGTAGAAGATTAGATAGCACTCGACATAATCAATTATTATATGACAATTAGAAATAAAATCATAATTACTGGCCGCATCTAAAATAAAAAAAATGGTCTTTCGTCAACGGTAATATTTACATATATCTGATTATTATTTGTTGCCGAATTTACTTTTTGATACGACCAGCTTTTGTACTCGAATACCGGAAGAGTAGTCTCATTTAAGAGATTCGTAACTCTTCTCTTATGAGCGCCAAACATTAAACATATTTTATTAAATTATATTTTATTATATATATTATATTGCGAACATATTTTTTATTGTATGATTTGTACGAACGAGTGAGCGCTTTTAATCCTTTCGTTGCCACAAATGCATACACATACACACACACATACATAATCATCACTTCATTATCGATAATTGTTTGATATTTTAATAAATTTTGAGATCTACAGGAAATCTTTATACACTCACGTGTCAGTAATCAGGAATTTTGGCAATGGAAGGATTGAGATTGAAATGCAAAAGTTTAAAGATATCATTCATCTAGAATAAATTTTTGCATTGGAATGCAAAAATATATTGTCATTAGGAATATTGTTTGAATTCGCTATATTTTCAACTTTGTGCGTTCTTATAACGAATTCAATTGGGTATACCAATGTGCACCAGTGCACATTCAACCGAATTCGCTATTAGTGTTGATTTTAAATTATAAAAACAATGTTTCACCGGCGCTCATAGTTTTCTTCGTCCCGTTCTTAGGCTACACTTGAGAGTTTTACTATCGAAAGATTATTTAAAAAAAAATCAAATTGTCTAATGAATATTTTATAATTGAGATTCATTCTCAGTTCAACACCAATTGATATCTCTCAGAGAGTAAAGCTCTCAAACGAACATAGTTAACATCACTCTTTCAATTCTATATCAGCTAAGAATTGTCACTGTCGACACTCGTTCTCGGAGGATAAAACTCTCAAGCGTACACTTTTAGTTTTGATCTTATGTTTGTCGCGTTTATCGTATATACTGTAACACTGCCAATATAATATTCCTCCACTTGGTTAATCTTTTACAATTTGCTTCGTCTTCTATTTCTCCGAGACGACGGCCGGGGCAGCCCCTCGCCGATCGATCTCTGCGACTGATAATACGTGCGAACCATCGATATTCCGCAATCTTTTATCTCTCTCTTTCCAACGAAAATCGCGCACCACTGTTGTTCGCGATCGCGACGGGACCAGTGTTATTCAAGAGAGTGTCTTTCTCTCTCTTTTTCTCTCAAAAAGCTTAAATAATTATAAAAGTAGAATAGTATAGGTCACACACATATTCATTTTTTTTTACTTTTATTTACTTGACGCATTTAGAGAAATTGATGGAATTTCTTATCCTTATTTTTTGCTGAGAAAATAACCTATTTAAAATTTTATGAAAAATTTGTTATTTGAACTTGATATATAATATTATATGTATTATTATATATGTACATTATATATATATATATATATATACACGTATATAGATATATACATATGTATCAATTCAGTCGTGCACTAATTGTCCGCTAAAATACAGCGAATTAATGAATGTCGCGAGAGGTCCCATCGCGATCCATCGAGTTTCTCCAAATTTCTTCTTTCGATTCGGAAGAGGAAAAGAAGTAGCCGGAGAGATCTTCTTCCTCGTGAAGGACTCAATAAAGAACATTTATAGCCTTTCTAATAGGCGAGGTCTCTAGATCCCTTAATCATAAGAAATATCGTAGAATTGAAAGACATGTGATGTGATGTAAAATATATCCGTTTCTATAAGTACTCGAGTCAAATGATCTTAATTGTTTACGATTCTTAAGCGCCGATATGTGAGACTCGGACAAAGAACGACGATACTTGATGCGAGTGCATCAAGTAGGGATGCAGCATGTTTTGGGATATGACTGAAGTTCGACTTTACAAAATAAGAGAGAAACTATCTTCTCTCAGTTTCTCGGTATAGACCGGAAACACAGATGGGCTTATAATAAGAATACTTAATAATCCAATTATAGATAAATACGATTGTATATTATACATATAGCTTGCAACAATTTTTCTAGGAACACAATCGGAAATATTTATTTTTATTCGAGCGTAAGAGCGTAAGACAAACTATTTGATAAAACATTCTGTGAGATAAATGAATAAATGAGATGGAACGATTTAAATTTTTCGACAAGTCTTACGAGCATGTTTGAGAAACAAACAATGGAACACAAAGATGAGTGTGCATTTATGTAACGCGTAGATGTTATGCGAAATCTGAGATTATCCATTTGCGCATGGTATCATAATTGTTACTGATATTATCGTTAAAAAGAGCGAGAGGTCAAGTGTTAAAATTCGGAATTATTTTCAGAAATTTCTCTCGTGACATTCAAAGATTTCTCTTTCATTTCCATTCGTAATATAGATAACAGTGTTTTCCTCGCTATTGCCAGAAAAAAAAATTAGAATTGTTATCATAAAATACCAAACTTTGTTAAATTCCGTTTTGAAGACTTGATCTTTTTTTACAAATTGCCCGATAAAGTTGCTCGTGCTTAATAACGATCGTTTTCATCTTACATATAAGCTCATTTGTATATAACGACACATGAGAGGAATGTTGTTTTATTCCAAAAGCAACGAAGAAGCAAAAGCATTAAATTCGTTCGTTTTAAAAACATGCGCGAGAAGTCGAAGATAATCTTTGGTTTTCCTTTTGATCGAGTCATTGTGATTTTTTCGCTGAATAGAAAAAAGAGCGTCTCTTTCTTGCTCGTATCATTCGTACTTTTGAGCCATTGAGTTTACTTTTATAAAACATTTTTAGAACAGGAGCAATCCATCGAGAACCATATTTCTTCGACTAAGTTTTTAAAATATTAGGCTATTTTTAGATTTTAAATGATGTGAATCATATCTCTTTTTCAGATCGGCTTTTATCTTTGTTTTTTTATTTTTTTTAAGATCAGGATGTAATATATCGAGAAACAAAGAACCGCCGAAGTTTTTTTATTGACAAAGACTCATCACGTAAATGATTTGTGTAGCACTTACATGATCCATTAAATTGTAAAATTATCAATCATGGATTGTAGAGCTTTACTTTTTTCGCTAAGTCTCAATGAATTTAACTCAGTGAATGTTGATTAAATAGAACGATTTTAGATCACTAATAGGACCGAGGTTTATATCGATGATTTCATGTTGAAATCTCACATGTATTAGGTATTATTTATTATAAATAAAACACATTTAAAACATACTTAATAATTAAATTTTTAATAATTAAAACATTTAATTTTCAATATTTAATAATTAAAACATATTTAAGTTTTACAAGATAATCTTAAAAGATTTTTTAAATATATATTTCAACGCAAAATTGTATGTCAGAATCAAAAAAAAAAGATTCTTCGAATTTAAATGTTCGTAAAAATACTTAATACATGTGTGTACCATGCTGTCGATATTTAAGATAGAATTCAGCGCATGCGTATTAAATTTCCGTATTATAGGAAGTTAAGCCGAGAAAACGATTGTGAAAAAGAGGAAACACCGCGAATATATTTTTAGAAATCGTGCATCGAACAAGAAGAGCACAAGTGATCGCAACTCTATATGCATATACTTAATCATTTGATCATATGTTTAGTTTGATCTAGTCTAAAAAAGAATGACGTGACTGTCTACGAATGGGGTGTTGTAATATTAACGAATTTTTGCGAAATATGACGTAGAATATATTTTGAATATGATGATATGGAATTTTTTACTTTTTGAAAGTGATTCTTGATAGTAAAATCTTTTAATAGAAGAAATCGATAAAGAATCGAGAGAATTACTGTCGATAATTGACATTCTCTATTTTGCAGGATATTTGGATTTTTTAATTATAATTTATTCCTATATTTTTCGATAATGTGATGCGTATCACGTATTTTATTATAAACACAGATTAAATTTTATCGCGCCATCAATTCATTCGTGAATAATTATGATATCTGAAAATCAATTGTGTAATATACAAAGGACAGTCATGGTAGTCAGAAAATTAGAAATAATTCGGAGTCAAAAGGAGCTTTGGCGAATGACATTTTTTTTTTTTAGAAGATTCATTTTGACTAAAGCATGAAGAGAAGAAAATTTAAATTTATTAAAAAATGGTGTGTGAATAGAAAGAGAGAGAGAAAGAGAGAGAGAGAGAGAGAGAGAGAGAGAGAGAGAGAGAACAAATGTATATGCGTGTACGTATATGTATGTAAGATCGTGAACAAGAAACTTCAAATTATGCCCGTATTTTTGTGCTAGAAATTAGAATGCGTAGACAACTGCTATGAATGTTGCCGCGAGAGTGAGGAGAAGAGAATGATACATATTGTATTATATTAAATGAAACAGATATTGTTTAAATAAAATTGATATACATAAATTCGATTATGTATGCTTTATTCATTCGTTATCATCTATATCGCCTCCGTAATTATAAATCCAACATTGTGATAATTTAATTTGTCTGAATCTTATTAAATGTGATATTAATTTATATAGCTCATTATTACTTATCTATATTTTATAAAACCCAATATCAATCTATTTATCTTTTTTTTCTTATCTATATAAATTTATTATAGTGCAATATTCTTTTTCATATATACAGTAATAGAGTTTTGAATATGTTACTAATCTTGCAGACAAAAGTTGATATTTTAAAATACAGCGTATTTTTTATATGTTAACATATTTTTTTATTATTTTTATTGATCAAACATATTTTGTTAATTGATAATTTTAACTGCATTAAACTGCATTAAACAGTATCTTATAAGAAACTTATATGAATTTATCTATCCGACAAAATATATAATAATTTAGCTATAAATATTTCTTAGGAAAAAGCAACGCGCAGGTTCACAAATGCTGTCTTTATCATAGATATGTAAAATACATACGGAATCTATTCTGCAATGAGGGAAACCAACAAGTTCGGGATGTGTTCGGAACATTACCTATCAATCACAAATATATAGCCTATTCGAAATTAACCAAAGAAGATCGCATTCCGACCCATCTATATATTTTATATATTTATGGTATTGCATCATGTCGACTTCGAGTCTCTCTCTTAGAATGTGTATGTGATTCATGAACTTTTACTAAATAGTATGTATATTATATAAATTTTTCTATGGATCAGATTATATATAATAACTTAACCACGGATATTTATATTACAAAAACGGAACGCGCGAAAAAGAAATATGTATGCGTTCTGCCGTTTTCGACGCTGCCTTCGCGTATCGCGCCGCGTCGGTTGCGAATCACAGCCTCTTCTCAGTTTTTGCGTTAATTAATTAGGGGTGCTTTCCGATTCACGCATGATGCGCAT